CAAAACAATTTTATATTTGGGAAAGGTTGTGAAAAATTTTTCAAAATTTTAATAGGAACATTTTTTTATAATTTTTAAATGGCGTATCTTTTGAGAATATTGAAAAATTAAAAAAAAAATTCACCCATCTCGCAATAATGGGAATTCCCGGAAGAAGCGAACAGTTCTGAGTTGCGAACGGACCGCAGATCCGAAATGAGGGCGAATTAGCCCTCGTGGAGCAATTTTTAATTAATTTCATTTTTTGAAAAATTAGCATTTGAAAAATTGAAAAAAAAAAATTCACCAATCTCGCAATAATGGAAATTCCCGGGAGACGCGAACAGTTCTGAGTAACGGACCAACCGCGATCCGTAATGAGAGCGAATAAACCCTCATAGAGTGACTTAAAAATTTTTCACTTTTTTGAAAAATTGGCACTTGACAAATTTTTCAAAAATTGAAATAGGACAATTTTTTTTATACTCAAGGTGGCGTATTTTGTGAGAATATTGAAAAATTAGGAAAGTACGAAAACAACAATGTAATTAAAAGAAAAAATTATATTCGCAAAAATTTCTAGAAAATAGAAAAAAAATTTTTAAAAACAAATTTCTGAAAAAGTTTTCAAAACATTACCCCAAAATACAATTGGTTTGTTTCACGATTTTTTTTCTAAAAAAAAATGTTCTGCAAAGTTTTCCAGAAATTTTTTAAAAATTTGGAAAAAATATTCCAATTACAATTTTTTTTTTCCCCGGGTATGTAGTATATTAATATTAAATGTATTAATAATTACGGAGATGAATTGGTATTAGAAAGATTTTGGTGATTTGCGCATTGACTATTTTTACATGAAATTTGAGAATTGTCTTTTTACGCGTGTTTCCTGACGGAAGGGAAATTGGCAGGTGAAAAAAAATAGGTCTCGATGCCAATTGAATTGGCTGAACCAACTCGCCACGAATGTACTAATCAACCGAATATCCATTGAATTTACAGTAGTCCGTGTATTGATATCAGATTTATTGGATCGGGGTTAACGATGAGCCACGGCGAACACTGGCAAACATCGTAGTGTGCAAACTCTCTTTTCAAATAGCCCTGTACAAACGGTATTGTACAAAACCAATGAAAGTCCAGGGATCTATTATCATTTGCATAATATAACGCAACATTGTTCCATCTGCCCCCTCTCAACACCTTTGTAATTCTCGGCTCAATATTATTGAGCTGCCGCACCATTTTTCCTCGTTATTATTCGACGATTACCCATAATTAGTTTATACGCTTTAATAATTAATGCCATTCGCCGGCAAATGAATTGTAATTAAAAATCAATAGGGCTGTTGTCTTTTCGACACTGGCATTTTGTTGGAAATGCTGGGGAGTTATTTTATCGGTATATTGATGAGTCGCGATGAAAAATTTTCTCATTTTCCAATGGAGATTTAGTCCGGCGCGTTTGGTCACACATCGTAAACCTCCATTTTACTCTAGTCGAGACCATTACAGTCGATATTCGATAGGAGATTGCCGCATGGAGGGTCGTAAAGCATCATCGATGCGGTTAAATTATGGGATAGTTATCAGTTTTTCTCTGTCTATCATTATCGAAGAGTCGAGTGCACGTGGAATAACGATTGCTCGGGCATCGGCAATGCCCAGTGCTAAATTACCGTTCATTGTTGCCGTTGATTATTATTCGTGTTGTTCAAGAACTCAAGCACGTGCAATTGGAATTGAAGGAATTTCCACGGATCTTTCGAAATACGCAGCTACGATATTTTTAAAGTTTTTATTTCTATTTTTCTATATGTCTTCTTTCATAGATTATTAATCTATAAGATTATATTCTTAAAGAATTACTGCTGAAATTTTATAAAAACACCTTAGAATGTTTCAACACAAAAAATTCATATGAAATTTCCTGGTTATCATTACTGAATATATTTGGGAAATTCTCATGAGAAAATTATTTTAAAAATTGGAAATCAAAACTTTGATTTTAATATCATATTGAGGGTTCGAGGGACACCAGAAAATTTAATTATGTTAAAAATGAATATTCATTGCCAAATTATTCGACAATTGTGTGGAAAAATTCTAAGTTGCTGCCCGAGAATGTTCCTAGTCTCAGAAATTCCTATATTCATTTAAAACTTAATGGTATTTAATTTATATCTGAAAGTTCTTGTTCCACCCTTCGATACCTCTCGTTTATTCATCTCCGTGATATTTACGGTTGCTTTGTGAACAGGATTGAATTGCTCATCAGCTTCAACATCCCATTATGCTTTGAGAGAAGTAACAGCAGTGAATTAATTCCTTAAGATTGTCATGAAAATAGACTTTGGTATCAAGCGTACAACTGAATTACTTCCGCAAAGTGGTTTGCCAGCGTAATTTACGTGAAACGTCACATAAGGATGAATTTCGTAGGTTGCAGTTCTGTTATACCATCAACCAAAATGAAAGTACCACAGATATTACACTGTACTGTGCTGCCTCGGAGCCCTCCCTCTGTTTCTGACATGTGTGCACTTGCAGTTTGCCTTACCGGTATTACGCGTACATTATCACGCATGCCACATGAAATTCCCTAACTATTCTGGGGCTGAAGGAGCCATTGAGGGAAACTGCCTCAGGGCACGTGTGCATCTGGTAGAATTTCCCATTCAATTCTACGTGGGAGAATTATGAAAAGTTTCCGGCGTCAGTGCTGGCGAAGCGATTTCACTAATTGGGTATTGAAGGCTAGGTGCTGCTCGAATTACTGCGTAATTAAGGAGAGGATGATGAATGTTTGTGAATAAAAAAGTCGCACACTTGCAAAAAAAATAATAATACGAATATTCACTTACAACAAAATTCATAATTTTGTTGCACAATTTAGCACAAACAATTGCCCTGAATTTCCCCAATACTGTGAATTCCCCAGAAAAGTCACCTCCGAAAATCAATTCTTCTTCGTGCAATCTCCCAGAAAATCCTCCTTAAGCCTTCGAAAAAGTATAAATAAGAGAATCAGCTGATAAGCCGAGGGAACACAGCAACACATGCAAGTGCGAAAGAGGAAGGAAGTGCCAGGGGGTGTGTTTCAGCTAAATGCAGGTAAAAGCGTAAAGAAAAAAAGAAGAAGGAAAGCCCGTAGAAAAACATGAGGAGAAAAAAATGTGTAGCGATACGAAGGGAGAATGGGAAAGCGGATAGCTGTAGAAGGCAAAAGGCACCGAAGAATATAAGAAAGGGGTCGGTCCCCTCAGGAGCAGCGAGAAGTAAAAAGGTCGAGGTAGATTATTTCTGGGATAAGATGTCCGTCGTGCGACAAGCCCACAACTCTCCAGGATAAGCAGTCACTGGTACATTCATTTCACTCTTTTATCTCTCTCTTTTTTTTTCACTTCTTTCAATGAATGGATGAACGCGAATAGGGCAGAAAGGATGGCCTTTTGGCAAACTCCCGGGCGCGGGTCAAACAATGCCCCTCAGCTGTGGGAGTTTCAAGCGAAACAATAATAATGATAATAAAAGAAGAAAATTGCGCTGTTTTTTTTTTTCAACGTGAAAGCGTCGCTAGAGTTATTGTTCCTGGGGCATTATGATTATCGTCACTGGAATGGCCGCTGTCAAATATTAATTCACATCTCGTTCTTCTACTTGGAATTTTTTTCTTTCACCATGGCTTTTAGCTTTATCAGCTTGGAACACCGAGTTTGGAAAAAAGTTCATCATCCACTTGGTGAGAGTACTGGGAAATTACGTGTAATAAGTGAAAGGGTGGTGAAGGGTATGTAGGGGTGGAAAAAGAGTCGTGTTGGCTATCAGTGGACAGGAGGTGGATGTAATCAGGGCATTTAGACGGGCATTGGTGAAATAACCAGAATATATTCTGGGGGAGAGTGCATTACGAAAAGTCTGTGGAGCCGTGGAAAAATCCATTTGGGGGGTGAGAATTAAGGAGGCGAAGG